GGGAAATCCCTCCTGCGGTATTATTTTCCAAACTGCGAATATTCTCTGAATAAATCCCGAATACTTGTCATTTCTGTTCGGAATTTTTTTTTTTGCAGTTGTAGGATTCTGTCAGTCAGTTCTATAAGTCATTTGCAGTTTGAAGTCGAAATTTTATCTTCCAGTGATCATTTCGCACTTCAAGGGAGGTTGGGAGACCTGCAAAACTTGCAAAAATCGAGATTTTTATTTTTCTCGAATTTTTTTTTGCAAAGTTCAAACTTTTCTATTTTGATTAGTGACTCCTTATCTAAGTGTTAGTTGGGTGATTATCCCATCCACCCGTCCCCACCTATGTTGTTGCCATCTCTCGCCTTACCTGCTCTGTTCGTCTCCGGGTACCCCCTGCGGCGGCATTGGTAAGTTGCCACGTCAGCAGGCCACGTCAGCAGACCACGTCAGCAGGCCACGTCAGCAGATTATGTCAGTACATCAGCAGGCCACGTCAGTAGGCTACATCAGCAGGTCACATCAGCAGGACACGTCAGCAGTGCCACGTCAGCAACAGGGGATGCCACATCAGCAGGCCCCGGCCTAGTCTATGCTATTGCGTTCACATACAGCAGTCATGGACCAGAGGCCCGGAGAAGCAAACGAGGCTTATCATGCCCGCATGCTGGCATGGAGTACCGAAACAAAGAAACGAGCAGATGACGCTGCAGCAGCAGCAAAGAAGAAGGCAGAGGATGCCGAGCAGGCACGTCTGCTGGCGATTGAACAACAGCGCCAGCATGACGAGGCAGCAGCAAGGGCCGCCGATGAAGAAAGACACCAACGTCATGAGAAGATATTTACCGGAGAGCAGGCTTTACTCACAATGGCAGCGGACTGGCGGACCGAGGCGGAGAATGGCAAGTTGGAGGATAGCGCAAACAAGATAGCGCTCCTCCTCTCGCACCTCACAGACCTCTTGGCAACCTGCATTACACAGCAGGAGGAGATCCACGGTCTCGACAACTCGCTAGCTCACGTCCAAGACCGCCTTCAGCAGTTGGAGCAGCGACCAGTCGCCGCCGCCGATGCAAGCTCTTCCAATACCTCTGACCGCCTCAACGCATTAGAGATGGACGTCGGCTCACTCAAAGATGGCGTGCAATTACAGCAGACCGCAATGCAACAGTTGCAGCAGCGGATCTGTACCACCGCCAATACCTCGAGTTCGGAGCCGCGCGAGACAGCTCCAAAGTTTGACGGTCAGAAGATCTTCTGCGACTCGATGAAGACAGATCCGATTCCATGGTTCCGCAAGTTCGAGCTCACGCTGCAGCTGCACAACGTCAAAGAACACAAGCACCACGCATACTTGTACTCTCGCTCAGGGGGCGCGTGCCAGGCTTGGTTGGACAACCTCTTGTCCAAGTACGGAGTGATAGCTGCCGACTTGCACACCAAGATCAGTTGGGATGATCTGAAGGCGGCGTGGCACAAGAGGGTCCAGGTGGAGCCGCCGGAGATCAAGGCCACGGACAAGCTCATGATCTTCGAGCAAGGCGCGCTGCCGAGTACGAACTGGATCGCCGAGTACCAACGCTTGATGTCAGTCCCAGACATCCAGATGGGCTTCAAAGCCATCCGCCATTACTTCATCTCAAGGTCATGTCCGGCATTAAGCAATGCCCTGACGCATGTTGAGGACACCTTGACGACGACGGCGGAATTGTTTGACAAGGCCGCGCAGATCATCATCACGAACAAGGAGGCCAAGAACCTCCGTTCATCTGCGTCAGGCCCGAGCAGGGACCAGCATCGGCCAAGAGTGGTCGTGGTCGCAGCGGCAACTCTGTTTGATCAATCCAGCGAGGCTGTGTCTACCAGTGAAGGGGACAGACTCGCAGCCGCCCAGGAAGGTGGCCGCCCCGGCAGAGGCAAAGGACGCGGCAAGACGAAGACACACACCGAATCTAGCACCGGGCCCGGTGCAGCAGCTCAGGCAGGCCCATGGTCCCAATATGGCATCTCCGAGCAAGCATTCAAAGCACGCGAGAGATTCCATTATTGCCTTTGGTGCAACAACGATCTTCATCAGACGCAGGTCTGCCCATTGAAAGGCAAGGGCAAACAGGGAAACTGTGCACCGCAGAGAGTGACTCGACGACACTCTCGACGCCTTCGGAACCGGTTTCTTCGCGAGTAACCGGCCTTCATTCCGAGGCGCACGCGGAAGTCGATAGTCCTCCTCTTCTACTCTCTTTCGAGGACTATGCTGCCCAGCTCGTTCCTACGCTGGGTACTCAAGCTCAAGGACAAGAAGTGTGTGCGGTTTCTTCTCCGTCCGGCAACGGTGACATATCGTCTTCAAGTGGTTCTTTACGGGATTCGGCACGCGAGTTCAACGTAGAGGCATTGGACCCGCTCACGTCCGAGGACTTTGCATGGCTTCCTCTCCCAACCACAGGCCGCTTGCCGGGACCGCAATGCGCAGCACTTAGCGCTAATCTTCACACTTACTTATCCTTCTATGCACCACCAACTTCGCCGACGGATGACGAAGTCGCGGTGGGGGACATCCTGGCGTATACTACCAAGGTGGCCCGCGAGTTTCGCACGCAGCGGTACGATGACAACAACGCACCGCTCATGTATGTCCGCATTCAGGTTGGGCAAGCGTCCTGCAGCGCTTTGCTGGATAGCGGCGCGTCTCCCAATTTCATGAGTCAGTACTTTATGCAAAAGGCTGGCCTTGGCGCACAAGTTCGGAGGAAGGCAAACCCGACGACAATCAAGTTGGCGGATGGAAAGACGAAACAACTTCTCGACCGTTACATCGAGGCCGTACCGGTCAACTTCGCACCTCATGCATGCGAACCGGTGACATTCGATATTCTCGACACGGACTTCGACATCATTTTGGGAATGCCTTGGCTTGCAAGTGCGGATCACACGATCAACTTCCACCGACGGACTCTTAGCGTTCGCGACGCCTTCGGCGCGGAAGTGGCGTGTACTATTCCTCTACCGCACCCTTCGATCCGGTGCCAAGTGGTGACGACCAAATCATTCCGGGCGACTTGCGCTTACGAGCAGCCCGAGGAGATCGGCCTATGTTTTTTATGGACCGTCGCGGTAGCCGACTCTTCACCCACGGACTTGTCTTTGGACCCCCGTGTGGTACGGTTGCTGGACGAGTTCGCCGACATCTTCGAGTCACCTACCGGTGTGGTGCCGGATCGGCCGATCTCTCACGAGATCATTCTTGAGGCCGGTGCCGTGCCGCCGAAAGGTTGCATCTATCGGATGAGCGAGGAGGAACTTGAGGTCCTCCGCGCACAACTCGACGATTTATTGGCCAAGGGTTGGATCCGCCCTAGCAGCTCCCCATATGGAGCACCAGTTCTCTTCGTCAGGAAGAAGAACAAGGATCTACGACTGTGTATCGACTACCGCAAGCTCAACGCGCAAACCGTCAAGAATGCGGGGCCTCTTCCTCGCATCGACGATCTTCTTGAGCGATTGGGCGGCGCAAAATATTTTTCCAAGTTGGATTTGAAATCAGGATATCATCAAATCTCGATCCAGCCGAACGACCGCTACAAGACCGCGTTCAAGATGCGGTACGAGCATTTCGAGTGGGTGGTCATGCCTTTTGGCCTCACCAACGCCCCGACGACCTTTCAGGCGGCAATGATCAATGAATTCCGTGCAATGTTGGACCGATTCGTGCTGGTCTACTTAGACGATATTCTCGTCTATAACCGGTCATTGGAGGATCATCTTGGGCATCTTCGACGAGTGTTGGAGACGCTCCGCCGCGCCAAGTACAAGGCCAACCGCGACAAGTGTGAATTTGTCCGGCAGGAGCTGGAATACTTGGGCCATTTCGTCACACCGGAGGGCATCAGTCCGCTATCGGACAAGATTCAGGCCGTCCGAGAGTGGCCTGAGCCTCGGAATGTCACAGATGTCCGCTCGTTCCTCGGTCTCGCCGGCTACTATGAGCGCTTCATCAAAGGCTACTCGAAGATCGCGGCCCACTTGAACAAGCTTCAATGCGAGGATCGGTCGTTTGACTTCGGAGAGGAGGCGCGGGGATCATTCTTCGCTCTCAAAGCCGCGCTATTGTCTGCGGAGGTCTTGCGGATATACGAACCGCTCTTGCCTACGCGCGTCACTACGGATGCGTCAGGCTATGGCATTGGTGCAGTCCTCGAGCAACATGACGGTGTGGACTGACACCCGGTTGAATACTTCAGCAAGAAAGTGCACATCGTGCATTCTATTGATGATGCACGCAAGAAAGAGCTCCTCGCCTTCGTCCACGCGCTCAAGCGGTGGCGGCACTTCCTCCTTGGTCAAAGCCAATTTCGCTGGGTAACGGACAACAATCCGTTGTTCTTTTACAAGACCCAAGACACCATCAATAGCACCATCGCTCGATGGATGGCTTTCATCTACCAGTTCGACTTCTTTCCCGATCACATTCCCGGGAAGTCGAACCGTTTTGCGAATGCTCTTTCACGGCGTCCGGATCATTGTACCGCGGTCTACTTAACGTTCGAGATCGACGACGCCCTGCGGAACAGTTTCATCCGCGGCTACCAAGCCGACCCCAAGTTTCGCGACAAGTACGCGAATTGCTCCTCTCCTAATCCGGCTCCTTCTCACTACTGGATCCAAGAGGGGTACTTGCTTGTCCACACGCGGGGGAAGGACCTTCAAGTGATCCTCACTTGCGTACACGGCTTCTTGGCGAGTTCCACGATGCTCCCGCCACCGGACACTTTGGAGTCAATCGTACGATTGGCCAACTTCGCCAGCGATTTTGGTGGCTCGGCCTTCTCGGCGACGTCACGCGCTATTGCGAGTCATGCGAGGTTTGCCGACGCTGCAAATCCCACAACCATCGTCTGTATGGCGAGTTACGACCATTGCCAGTTCCGTTGAGGCGAAGGGAAGCGATTGCCATGGACATTACCGGCCCGTTCCCCAAGCACAAGACCGGAGTGGCTGGGATTCTTACGGTGGTCGACCGACTCACCAAGTTCGCCATGTTTTTCCCTTGTCGCTATCATGCCAAGGCACCAGAGTTGGTCGAGGTTCTCTACGCCGGTTGGATTCGAACCAAGGGTTACCCCAAGGAAATCGTCTGTGACCGCGACACTCGTTTCATGTCCGATTTTTGGTTGGCACTCGTCAAGCGATGGGGCTCATCTCTCAAACCCAGTTCAGCTCGCCACCCTCAGACCGATGGCCAGACGGAGAGGGCGCATCAGACCGCACAGGTTCTCCTTCGCACTCTCATCCGCCCCGACCAGAAGGACTGGGTTGAGCGGCTGCCGGATGTCGAGTTGGCCTACAACTCATCTATCCACCCAGCTATCGGGATGTCGCCCTTTGAGTTTGAGCACGACTCGCCGGTCACTTCACTGTTGGACACTATTACTCCACGAACGGTCGAGAGCGACGACCATCTTCTTTTCTTGCGTCGGATGCAAGAGCTTCTTGTCAAGGCACGCGATCAGA